TATGATTTCACCATGACTTGAATAAGCTTTCAAGATTTAATTTTCTGAATTTCAGAAAGTAAAAATCGTCCGGGTACTTGTTAAGAAGATGGAAAAGCTCTAATAACTTCCAATAGTGATGAAGAAGTGATATCGTGGTGATAGGCGATAAAATTATATTCCAATTGCTGGCAGGGTATGTTGAAATGTACATACATATGTAGATACTTAAGTAAACACATTTTTTACAAATAAATAAAAAAATAGGGCATATTTATTTGTTTAAACTTAATGACGTTTCTAGCGTTTAAAGTGCACGGTAAGTCATGTATAAAAATACNATGTTGAAATGTACATACATATGTAGATACTTAAGTAAACACATTTTTTATAAATAAATAAAAAATAGGGCATATTTATTTGTTTAAACTTAATGACGTTTCTAGCGCTTAAAGTGCACGGTAAGTCATGTATAAAAATATGTNGGTATGTTGAAATGTACATACATATGTAGATACTTAAGTAAACACATTTTTTACAAATAAATAAAAAAATAGGGCATATTTATTTGTTTAAACTTAATGACGTTTCTAGCGTTTAAAGTGCACGGTAAGTCATGTATAAAAATACATACATGCATATGTATGTACATTAGACTGCATCACCAAAAAAAGTTGCGGTTTTTCCGCCGGAATCACACAATTTATTGTATTCTGAGACTTATGTCAAAATATTTCGAAAAAATATTAAGATTTACGTGAGCTGGGCCGATTTGAAAATATCTCCAAAAATGTAGGTTTTATGAATAAAATTAGTTTCTTAAAGACATAAAAATATTTTAAAAAAATTTTCAACGGAATCATAATAATGAGATTTAACTTCTTTAAACNCGTTTCTAGCGTTTAAAGTGCACGGTAAGTCATGTATAAAAATACATACATGCATATGTATGTACATTAGACTGCATCACCAAAAAAAGTTGCGGTTTTTCCGCCGGAATCACACAATTTATTGTATTCTGAGACTTATGTCAAAATATTTCGAAAAAATATTAAGATTTACGTGAGCTGGGCCGATTTGAAAATATCTCCAAAAATGTAGGTTTTATGAATAAAATTAGTTTCTTAAAGACATAAAAATATTTTAAAAAAATTTTGAACGGAATCATAATAATGAGATTTAACTTCTTTAAACTTTTTTCAAAGAATGGTTTAAGAAAAACTTAAATAACTCGACCACAACTATACCGATTTAGACAAGTAAGGTATCAGTGGAAAGGTATTTTCTCATTATTTTTATTTCATTGAAAAAAACTCATTCATGTCCCAATTTTGATTTACTTACATAACAGTACATCTTAATTAAACTTGGAATGGTGCTCGTTCATCTTACCTTTCTCTTTCATCCTTTGAACTAAATGATTTGCAAGGAAATAGCAAAATGCCCTTTCCAATGATATTTTATAAGTCTAAATCGCTAAAGTTTTTGCCGAGTTATTTAAGTTTTTCTTAAACCAATTTTTGAAAAAAAAGCAGTATGAAAAATCACATTGTTAGGATTCTGTTGAAAATTTTTTTTTAATGTTCTTATGTAAGTTTTTTAAGTTTAAACTATTTTGCCATTTTGGAGTGGTTATTAAAAAAGTGTTTTTAAAAAACTATTTTTATTCATAAAAACTTAATTTTGGAGTTATTTTCAAATTGGTCCAGCTCACGCAAATCTTAATATTTACCCGAAATATTTTCGTGCAAGTCTTAAAATATAATAGATTTTATAATTCCCATGGAAAAACAGTACCGATTTTTTTTGTATGGGGAGTGATGCAGTCTAATGTACATATGTATGTACATACCACGGCATATTAAACAGGTGGTAGAAGTAGATCAGCTTATTTGATATTTTTAAAATTATTTTGTCTTTAAACAGTCAAATATTGTTAATCTCTGACACAAATAGTCTTAGTTGCCAAAATATATCATACAATACATGAAAGGATAGATTCATGCTTTCGTTGCCCAATTTTGCACGAATGTGTATGTCTAGTAGTCTCTTGAAAGTTTTCAGTATTAAATAGGAGAAACTGATAGGCCTGAAGTCCTTAGGCAGCGTGCATATGTACTAGGAATTTTAATCCCGGGATCCCGGGATCCTTTAAAATAAATACTTAAATAAAAAAGTAGGTTTCAAACCTATTTATTTATTATTTATTTTATTGTAGGAGAGATTCTCAAACAATATAGAAGTAGTTTTTTCGACTTAAGTTGTTGAAAAGTAATGAATATCTAAATTCCGGGACTAATCCCGGGATCCCGGGGTTGTGATAACAACTTCCCGGAAAGCCCGGAATCTTAAAGAGTGAACAAAGTAACATCCCCAATGAGTGTACATTTAGGCGTACCACAAAAAAAAGTTTAGCGTGTATCGGTTTTATTTGAATACTTATGTCTATAGAAAATTTCTGCTATGAAAAACAGATTCTCATAAAAATACAATCGCTGCTCGGAGTCGGCGCAAACTGTAGATCCATCCCCTTTGTGTGACGACATCAAGGCGCACGTCACAAACGGCGGAGAAGGTCGGCCAAACTTTAACAAAATGCGTAATCGCTAATCTATTAAACAGCCAGACCCATACAGTAGGGCAAATATTCCAATAAAACATCTTTTATGTGTATATGCACAGTTGTGCTTAAGCTGTCGGACAGAGCGTATGCGTAACCCCTTTAATCTATGTACGTGAGTAAAGCGCCTGGAAGAAGTTACTGCCGACGGCAAGTGTTTGGCAATGCTTAATATTGCTTTTAAAATATTAATATTTAATATTATTTAAAATCTACATATGTACATATGTATATACAATTGTAAAATTAGAAGTTTGAACTTGAGTAAAGAAATTGATGTTTTAATTTACTTTTCTTGTCTGCGGTAAACGGACCGACCGTCTACTCAAGCTGGCGGTTATGGCGCATTACCCGGGAGTCGATCCTATTCTTGCGAGTTCTTGAGTATATGACGTATTGAATTTCTTTCTGGTCTATGGTGGATTTGTCAGGTCTAGGGCCTCACTGATATAGCCCAATCAGTACGTTAACGGTGGGGTTCAGTCTTTTCCCACCTTCTCTCTAAGACCTTGTAACCTATGCTTAGGAGACTGATCCTGCAGTAATTGGTGCGATTAGCGGGGTTGCCTTTCTTGTGGATTGGGCAGAGCACGCTTAAGTTCCAGTCGCCGGGCATGCATTCATCTGGCCATATTTTGCGTAAGAGTGAATGAGATGAATGTACCATATCAACTCCTCGCCGCCGTACTGGGAAAGCTCAGCTGCCAGGCCGTCAGCTCCAGCACTTTGTTGTTTTTCAGCCACGTAATTGCTATTCGTAGCTCGTCATAGTCAGGCGGTGGGACATCGACTCCATCATCATCGACAGGGGGCTGGGGTTCATCTTCTCCACTACTTTCAGTGCTGCTGCCATTCAGTAGGGTGGAAAAGTGTGCCTTTCATAATTTAAGTACGTTCTGGACATGGATAAATAGGCCGCCATGGTTGTTCTTACAGGTGTTCGCCCTGGTCTTAAAACCATATGTTGGTCGCCTAACTCCCTGGTACAATTTTTGATAGTTTTTCTTGTTGGCAAGCATTTTAAGCTCTTCGTCCACTCACAAAATTTGGTATAAATCGGTTGAGTGGTTGTTATATAAAAAAAAAATCTGTTTACAAAATCAAAAAGCCTAGAAAAAAGCTTGGAAGCGAG